TAAGGAAGGAATAGATTCACTTCTTAAAGAATGGAAAGAATCAACTGAAGTAGTAGTAGTCAGAACATTTGGAGAAAACTCAGGTTTTGTGCTAGTGGCAATGACGCACTTTGATAATAAAGTTTCCGCATTGGCATCATAGACGACTTCAGTCACAGGTTTTTTTAGTTTCTTTGACCGTCGACGCGACCGGCAGCGTTTCCGTTTGATACTCTCGGATCGGACAGAGGACTGTTGTTGTGATTCAAGTTCTTTACTAGGTTTATAATTAAAAGACTCTTTAAACATCATCGATGAAGTGAAAATTTTCGAATTGTGTTGGACGGAACTAGATGCAGAAGCTAAAGGAATATTTTGGGAATTCTCAAAAAAACTGAGGGCAGAGGCTACACTTTGAAAGCTACCGGGATCGTTGCAAGCATCGGAAGGTACACGTTGGTGTCTCCTCTTCAGTCGTGAACGCAAGCGCTGGCGTTTCCGTTTGCTACTGTTGGATTGAATGAACTGTTCTTGTGATGATTTGGGATGAGAGTTAAAATTGGAATTGTCTTTGTACTCACCAAGGACTGACTGCCACTTTGTTACTGAACGCTTATTCGACGACGATAGAGTGATTGTTATTGGCTCTTGGCAGCTGTATAAACCCATAACAGATTCTGAGCAATTTTTGCCCTCCCCAGAATACGAGGGGCAGCCTGAGCTAAGCTCAGGGAGGGATTCTCCTCTGCTGAGAGCAGCGGTACCCTCCTGGGGTAAATTATTTTTAAAAGTGCTCATAACATGAAATGAAAAATAGGGGTGCATTACTCCTGTCATTTACCCAAGATGACAGTGTACAAATTTTTGGAGGATTTAATCTCCAAGGCCCTGTAATGGCCTGATGTGGTTATACCGCCACGGTTCGGTGGGAAGGTAAGAAGTGGATACTGTATATCCTTGTCCTTGTCCTGGACCTTGTAGGACATATTGCTAGTAATGGGACAGTTAGTTCTCATTAATAACAATATCTTCCCCCCCCCCCCCATGTCAAGATGCCAATAAGATATCAACCTGGACTATAAAGGGCTGTTGAGTGAATTCAAAATTTAACAACTACTTGCAACCCTACTTGCTTGTAAGGAAGAGGCCTATGTTCGACAGCTGACAGCTTACAGCTGTATCATCAATAGCAAGAAATAGAAAAAACATATTTAACTTTGGCTTACACTATCTAAACCAATTACTTCCAAATCATAATGGTATACTGAAATAAGTACAAACATATTATTTATAGGATATATGAATGGATGCATTTTATTTACAGAGTATAAAAAACGTCTCTTTATATAGATAATCGGGCAACTGTTGGCAATGGCTGGACTGTTTTATACATGATACATAATATTTGCATAGTTATAAAAATCCTAGCAATCTCATTCAATCCCAAGTATTGGACAAAATCAACCCTAAAAATGGGGTTTAGAGCAATACAATATTTTGATTACTACAGGTTTGACAAGCCTCAACCAAATTTTGAACAACAACAACACATTATACGACCCTGACATCAAGTTTAAACTACAACAACAACTCAACAAGTATATAAAGCCTTTTCGGTTGGCTCCATATCTAAGTTCTAACTTGGAATAATAATGTCATAGACAACCCTTTTTGTAGTTTTTAATTTATAATATTTTTTTTTATAAACATTTTGCATATTACTTTGATATTATTTTTAACATTTATTTTTTGTAAAGAAATTGATCACTCATTAAAAACTTTACTTTGACCAATACCAACTGAGATTTAATATACTACAACATTGTTTTTTAAAAAAAAATTTGGTTAAATATTTTAATGTTAGCGAAAAGGCAGAGAAACTTTTTTGATTAGACTAACTTGTATTGCAGTTCAAATATAGAACACATCAATAAACTTTAAAAGCTTTTGATTCAACAACCTTAGTAACTATAGACAATACTGACAACTGATGGGAAAATATAACACACAATATCATTCTGTTTCTATTTCTGTAGTCTGAAATATCAATGATAATTTTCACAATCAACTGTAAATTTAAAATGACTACAGCTTCCATTATTTACTTAAACCAACAACACAAGTTCAAATTTAGAAAACTGCAATGACTATTTTTTTTTTTATTAAAGCATTTTAGACAGACAATATAGCAAAGTTTAAATATAGAACTTTAATTTTGTAATCAATCAATTATTTACAAATTCAAAATTAGAACAATCTTATAGACGATCCAACTACACATAGATTTATAACTCGACATTAACTTGTTTTTCACACATCAGTCTGATATTAAACTCCACATTGACAAATATATTCCTGTTTGAGCCATAAAGTTGTATATATTTTAATTTGTTTAGAATTGTAAATAGTAATGACTCAGAATGAATGGTCAAATGTTTAAATTTTCTAAGTTTTATTGTTTGCAGATTTATGAACTAATCAACTTTGATTTTTTATTGTCAATATTTTTAAAAGGAAATGAAGAGTACAGCCTGCTCATCTGCTGTAAGACATCACAAGACCACCTAAATTTCGGTAACCAACTAATAAACAAATTGACCAAAAAGTTGAGATTGTAAAAAAAAAACATAATAGATTTCTTGATACAATTACAATGTTTTTATTTTCATATATATTTTTTTTATTTATAGATTAATGTCACCAGCCTACTCACTAACAAAAAGATTAATTGCATGTATTAAAACCAGTTAAGACGTTAAGTTACTGACCCATAGTCCCTTACAGGAAACACACATCAATTTTATATTGTAAAAAGTAGTTAACTCCAATAAAAAATAAAACAAGCCTTAGTGAAACGGATAATTATTTTGGCGGGTAATATTTTGTCATTACGCATGCTTCACAAATGGAATGTGCTATAGCAAATATTGAGGTTATTTTTCCTAAGACATAATGAAAACTAAACATGACCTTTTATAATTAATTTAAAGCGATATAACGGGAATAAAAACCAAAATTAAGAAAATTCCCAAATGGACAAACAATAGAGAAAACTATACTTTGAAGTCATAATTGAAAAATTAAGTTAAAATAAACCACAAATTGATAATATAGTATTTCTTCGCCACTATGTTGATAATGAAACAAAAACAACCTAGCAAAATATAAAAATAAAAACCTTGGAAAATTACAAAATCCAACAAGTAAAAAGCAAAGTAAGCAATTAAAGTAAGGCAAAAATGGCCATTTTGTATATTTACTTTTTTTTTACCGATTTTTACGGCTTTAGAAACATTTTTTTGGAAACATTTCGTTTCCGATAGACATGTGCTAAATCGAAAAATAATTCGAAATAATAAATCGAGTTATTCGTGTAAAAATTGAAACATCTCAAATAAACAAATGAGATTATTTAAAATTATAGGTACTCTGTGTGTTGTAGCATGGTAAAGGTTATAAATAATATTTTAATTTTTACTGTAACGAACTACACTGATTACGATCTGTTGCATGGTCAAATAAGAAAATCATTTACTTGGAACAAATTTGAATAACACAGATTATAAAGACTATGTCCAAAAATGTAATTGAAAAGTTGAATGGCCTATGAGTGTACGTATTACGTAAAATAATGTTAGTAGACTTATGATTCACCTTTATTTGACTGTTAATTTTTGTCAGTGAATATACATACAATTTATATATATTATATATATGTATGTATATATATATACATACATACATATATATATATATATATATATATATATATATATATCCATCAATTTGTCTTTCGAATGCCATATCATTTTTATAATTGACATTTGTCGTTTTAGTAAAATCATATATGCGCCGGGCGAAGATTGAATCGATTTGGTTGCTCGTGAGTGTAGCTAAATATTTAGTTATTTAGATACGGTATTACTTATATGCTATACTTCCAAAACCCATACAATTGAAGTCAAAGGTAAAAACTAATTAAGTAATAAAACAATATCTACAAGAAGTTTAGAAGTGTCTTTAAGAAGACAGTAAATACACTACACAGACTACCTATAAAATTTGAATTTCATATATGTTATGGTATTTAATAAGGTCAAAATTTGAGGGATACGGATATAAGTACTGATCTCTTTTTTTGAATATCGCAGATACAGATTTGGATATCCGGCACATCACTGTTATATGATAAACCTAAGAACAAGGAATTACATAGAACGAACGATAAAATAAAAACTGTAAATCATATGGTTGCACTCTTTTGCAAATATAGTAAATAAAAAGAGAACGAAAGATATACCATCACTTTTCGCCATTTTCCTTAATTTATAGCAGGTTAGTATATAGAAAATGTTTGATATATCAATTATTTGTCAATAATTAATTTACCATTACTAGATTACGCGTTATTTTTTTCTTTTCTGTAATTATGAGTATTAATAAACAATTAAAAGTTTATGAATTAATAAATAAATATTTAAAATAAATTATATAAGTATTTAATTTTTTAATATACGTGTAGTTAGAAAAATAAAATTTATTTTTTCATAAAATCTAAATTTCTATATGTAATAAAATAACAAAAATTAATTACTTGTATTAACCAGTCAACAATATTTTTTCTGTTTTTTACTTAAAAGATTTGACTGTAATGATTACTTGCAGAAAACGATGATTTCAAATTTTTTAAATAAAAAATATTTAAAATCCTCACAACGCATTATCTATGTTTACATCAAAATATTTCTTTTCATTTAAACATTTTCATTGATACAACACGTAATCGTTAAATGTGTATGGAGATAGAAAAAGGCGGAAAATATTAAAATTGGCGGTATTCTTAAAAAGGAAACTGAAATTTAAATATTTGAAGCTGGCAGAAACGTTCGTAAAAATAACGACCGATTGCCATTGAAGAAAAGAAGAAGAAAAAATTAGTCAATAATATATATTACAAAATATTACTTAGCTTAAAAAGTACGCTTCTACAGCCGTATTCTCAATCTTCGCTCATTCATATGTCAAAATTATTGCTTCATTGAATTGAAAACTTTTGTTTTATATTAAATAAAATACTTGTTGTTTATCTTAATTTTTGACTGTACAACAACTTTTTATTCTCTAAATAACATTCAATTAGATTACTTTTACCATAATTTGCTCAATGACATACAAATAGTGACTATCATGGTGCTATGAAGTTTACACCATAACCAAATGTGTTCTATAAATTGCTATGAGTTAAAACCTATTGTTTAACTAATAATGCAAAAGAACTGTCACAGTAAATAACGTTCAATTTTATAACTTATTTCATGTAAGTATAATTCACTATAATGTAAATGAAATTTGCGTAATATGTTTGTCTTCATTTTGAGATATCAGAGTGGGAAAGAATAGAATAAATATAATATAAATGTATGACAAAATTGAGCAAATACAAAAATCAACAATTATTTTAGATCTGTGTCAACTCAAATTGAAGAATTATGGCCGTTTTATTGTTCATTTGAACTACAACCAACCAGTAATTTATATTTGTATGAAATTAAACTTATTTCTAACATAATATGTTTGTAAGTAGGTACTGAGTATCCTTAGATTTTAATAATTTTATATTTGTTCCATTCTATGTTAATTTTATAATTATTGGTGGTATTATTTTCATAATTAATTTAGAAATTAATTTATTATTTAATATAATAATAATTTATACAATTAATTAATTTCAAAATTTAATTTAGAAATAAATAGTGTTTAAATAAGTAAATATTGGGGTCAATTCTGTGATAGCATTTTTTAAACTATATCTAAAAAATTTCAGTTTGATACTGATGCAAAATCTTTATTCTATGGAACAATATATATATATATATATATATATATATATATATATATATATATATATATATATATATATATATGCCAATATTGTTAATTTTTAATAGATTTAATAGCCCCTTAACATCTTAATCATTATAACTATTGAATCAAAATATTAGCTTATGATAGACAGACAGACATTAAATTTATTTGCATTATTTACAGCACACAAATAACAACAAACATAGATAGACATGTACAAGATTTATAAGAGGTTTATTTATTTGATTTTATTTATTTGATGCACGTAACAGAAGTTTACAAATACAAACTTAAAACATAGATTGCAAATACATTAACACTAAACCTACCAAGTGTGGTTTCATGATCATTTTTGAAATTTTGTTTAAAATTTTTCATGTATAACGTTACTGTATCACCATGTAACTTATTGACTTTTCCTATAATATACATACAAGCCATTTTTCAATATTTACAACTTACTATTATTTACTTGTTTACTATCCAATTGGCTAAAATCTCTTTCTATATTAAGATACATACCTTTATTTTAAAATGGTCATTTGACTGCTCATGGTAGGATTAGGTAAATATGAAATGTCTATAGGTTTAGTGTTAATACATTGTTCAGGTAAACTTGAACAACATGATCCAGAGGGGGGGAAAGGGATTGTTAGTAATGTAGTCTGAAAATCCCATTGCTAGCAATATACCCAACCAGGTCAACCTCCTCGCGGTTCTCCCTGGAAACTATCATGGTTAATTCCTGACGAATTCATCATGATGGGCTAACTGGCCTGTTTTCATTCTCATCTAACCACCCTTCACTGGTGCTCCGCTAGCATATCCTGTTAGCGCAGGCAACAGTTACCATACCATTTTCACCCATAAAAAAATCATTTGACTACTAAGTTCATCCAACTAGCAGATAAAATTAGTAATTAATTACATATATTGTATAACTGAAGGTAGTTGACTTTTTTTGTTTCTCACTCAGTACAGGATTGGATACAGGGAAAGGACATTGTTCTGATCGGTTATTAGTTATATCATTCAAATATGAAAATTCACAGTGGTCAATATTATTTTTTTTTAATTTTTAGCTTTTTCCTGGGTTACAACATAATAAAAGTTGAGAAATAATGATGTAAAGATACTCAATGTTGGTTTAAATAATAAAATCATTTTTATTTTACTGTAATATGGCAAATATTTAAAACTAGTATAAAGGTGTATATATATATATATATATATATATATATATATATATATATATATATATATGCCCATGGTCACCCACAACACCTACGGCATTCCAGGTGCTATATATATAGCATATGCTCTTTTCTTAAAGGTTATGTTGTCATATCATTTCGGAAATATATATAATATTATTTCCTCTAAAAGTTTTAAGTAGTAAATAACAATAACAATAGAAAATATACAATAGTTTATCATCGCCATATCTGTTACTGTCCATTGTTGAACATAGATCTTTCCCCATAATTTTGCCAGTAGTTGCGACGCTTGTCAGACGGGTTAGCAACCGCCGTCAGGCTTTGGCCATGTTTTAAAAGGGGACGCCACTGCCCATTCATCGACCATTAAGTTCTCTTAGTCGCCTCTTACGACACCCACGGGGTAAGAATAATTCATATTTACATTTATTTATTAATATATTTTCCAGCCATTCTGCAACATAGAGTACAAATAAAAAAATGGAGGTAGTACAAAATCAAGGAACGAAAGTGAATAATGGCACAGAAACAAGACAGGATGCATTGAACAACGAAGTCTCCTCGACATCAAGCGACGAGCATTCCCATCGAGGTGTTGTGAGGAAATATAAAAACCTTCACAAGTCCCATTACGCGGAAACCGCTGTGTCGGACAACGAGATCTCCGGGCCCCAAAATAGGTTAGTACAGTCCAGGAGTCACTATAAAAGCATGGGGAACATCAACGATAACTACAGAACGAGAGATTACAACAAAAACATAAACAAGGTACAAAATAGTATAAGCACCATTGACCTCAGTCTACATAGGGAAGAAATTAAGAAATTCGAATCCTTACAAATACCAATAGTGGGTTACGAAGTGATGGAGGAAAGAGCCAAGTTTACAATATATAAACTCAAAGTGGAAGATGATAAAAGGGACCAGTCCTGGCTCGTATTTCGTAGATACACGGACTTTGTTAGACTTTACTCTAGGATAAAAAACGAATTGCCCACCATCATACTTCCTTTGCCTGGGAAGAGGTGGTTTAGGGATAATTTTGATACGGCCTTCTTAGAAGAAAGAGTACAAGGTTTACAGGTATTCGTGAATGCTATATTAAATAAACTGCCAAACCATCCGACCGTTAGGGAATTCTTTTGCTTAGACGAGCCGCCGCAGGTGTTCAGTTACCAGCCAGAGGTGCAAGCCGTGTACGGGGCCCTAGAGGACTCGATAACGACGTTAAAAATTAAATTGAAACAAAAAGATGCGACGATTGTTCATTTGCAAAATTACATAGCTCAGTTAGAGTTACAGGCGAAGAACTGTCCAAATTGTAGTACAAACTCTAATTCAAATCGTGTATAAGTAATTTGTGATAACAAATTGTAAATTTCTTTTTGTATATATAGGGAATTACACATTCTGATAAGAGGGTAGGTTACACAGGAATAACACCTGAGTACTCAGAAATGGCAACGCATATGGGTTATCATGGGTGCAACAGTATAGTCTGTTATGTGCATGGTACTGCTCATGTGTATAGGCGACGGTTACCACTTTCCATCAAGTGGACGGTCAGCTTGTTTGCCATTCTAAGTTGCATAGAAAAGGGCTTTCTCGCAACGTCCCGATCTCGTATTAAATTTTATTTATTTAGTTATTTAATCTTTATTGTATTGTACACATTGATAATTTGATGGAAAGTAAATGTACAAAGGTGAGCCTAACTTTCACCACAAAACTAGACATGGCCTGTTATATTAACGCTAAATATCCAAAGATTTGTTATTATTGAAATAGTATCATAATATGATAATGAAAAACTTCAAATTATGATACGAGATCTGGTCATTGCGAGATCGAATCTTTGACAAGGAACACATAAATGAGTTTAAAAGCAAATATTTTTATTCATAACTTATTTGTAAATAAGGAATCCGCAAAATGAGTCTCAGATTAGTAATTGACAAGTACCTGAAAGTTGAAAGCTGTAGCTACAATTTTTAGGTTATCGTTTATAATAGTCTCGTCTTTGGTCGGTATTAAAAAAAAAATTCTACAGAATTTTAAATACAGAATGACATTCTCTCTCTACAATTAATTCAAGATGGATTTCTTTATAGACATATATATATATATATATATATATATATATATATATATATATATATATATATATATGATATTGGCTTGAAAATGTTACGTTTTATTGACCAAAAATGTATATTTACTCTATTATTGATTAATTTTAAATATTTTTATTGCATAATGTAGTAATAAGTTTTAATATAAAAATTATATTAGATATAATGTATCTATATTTTATATTGGCAATAGATAAACAAGGTTTTGTATAGAAAAAAATAAATTACGTATTAGTTGATCAAGAATTGACATTATAACCCCCTTATCTACAAAAGCGTCTTAAAAACTTATTTTAGTTATTGTTTTGTTTTTCCTTTTGTGCTAAACTCTCAATATGAAAGAAAGTGACAAAACATTAGCTTTGTAGGTAGTTTTAATTCTTTTAAATAAGGGGTTTAAGATTAGATTAAGGCGTATTCTAATACCCATATCATAGACAGCCTCTCTCCCCATTAGAAGTGTTGATAAGCGCCCGGAATACTTGCTAACCTAATAGAAAATAACGTTGTCATAAGTGGAGAGTTAACCCTTCTTTGCATAATGGTGGAAATTTCCATAAAAATATTGAATGCCTAAAAATTATATAAAAGACCCAAGTTCACTTTAAGTTGATCGTGTCTGTATACCTTTTTAACGTCCATTGCAGAAAAAAAAAACATAGCTGTAAATTTTTTTTTACCATTTTTCCTTCAATTTTGAACATGAATATATATCTATCACCTTACACACTATGAATATATATATATATCACCTTGATTATATCACCAATAAAAAAAAACATGCAAAAAAGGGTTAAATATCTAACTCAATTTTTGTAGTTTCTAAATGTCATTTAATGACATTACAAAGTATCGAGAATGGCAACGCATGAGAGATATCATGGGCAACACAGTATACTTTATTAAGTCGATAGTACTGCTTATGTCTACAGGCGATGGTTACCACTTTCCATCAGATGGACCGTCAGATTGTCATTCTAAGTTGCATAAAAAAAAAGGGGTAGCCTGAGCTCTGAAATGAGGCACATATGTACTCTCAAACATATCTGCGAAATTCCATTTGCCCTTTCTTTACACCCCCCCCCCCCCCCCTCGTAAATAAGCCTATGTTTCTAGCAGTTTCCATTATGTACAAATTAGTCAGTCAATAAACTAGTTAGTCTCTATACATTTAATTAACCTGGGTGCTATCCATGTCACAGTTTTAGCATTTAAATGTAGGCAGATATACATTTACACGAGCTAGAGAAGATCAGTAGTCATATATAATTATAAAAAATTCCTTCTCTTTACATTTAAAATTAAACCTTGTCTTTAAAGGAACAAAAACTGTTATTTGTTTAGATCACTGATTGAAATAAATTCACATCTTGTAAGCCAGAATTTAGCTTTGACCACCCAATATGTTAGAACTCATAAACGTTAAGTATGTTATATATTTTAAAATAGTTTTATATTTAATTTTTTTTTCTGTCTGTACTAATATGAAATGTTTGTGTACCTGTAATGTTTTATAAAATCTTTCTCTGAACATTAAATGTATTCCTATATTTTTTATCATAATTGTCAGACTAGTATTTACACAGATCTAATTAAATTTATAATGTAATGGTGAAACCAATTTTCGAATAAGACAATTTATTGAGGAAAACACGTGTAGTTTATGCAGTTATCAAACACATAAAATTAATTGACCTAATAACAATAAAATTGACTTGAGATCAAACAAAATGCCTAAATTTTTCAAAAACATTTAACCCACAGATTAAGGACACTACGTTACCAAATACTTTTTCTGTGGCATGGTACAATTAATAGACAATCTTGTCATTTTTTAAAATATTGTATAAAAAAACAAGTAGCTATAACATAATGCATTTTTGTCGTTACATGAAAACATGTCATTACTTTTTTATAAATTACTATTAAACTAAAAAAGACATGCTAAAATTTTTTACTAAATATGCCTAGTATAATAAAAAATGTTTTAAAACTAGCTATTTTTATCGGAAATATATTATCGTAAGGTGAATAGATTTCAGATAATTTAACATAGAACCTGAGGTATGAATCGATTTTTATCCATGTACAATTTCATATATATTTAATGATATTTTGTACAAGCAATATCAAATGTGCCTTATTATACACAGTTGTAAACAGCGAGATAGAACAATGAAGTTGTTCTTGGGCAGATTGGATTTTTTTTTGGCGCTTAGTTTAAAAGCGTACAATCATAAAGTTATGGGCTCTGTAGACGATCAAGCATACAAATTATGCTGCATATAAAATAAAATGGAGCATCTTTATCTCTAAATTGGAAATTTTAAAATTGTCTGCAACCGTTTGACGGTTATCGGATACCTTTTTCAAAGATGAGTGTAGACGATATACCAAAAAGAATCCAATAGGCATCTATCAATTATTTTATAGTGAATATCTTTATATCTTTGAACAAATTTAGCCTATGGTACAATATAGCTATGACCTCACACTAGGCAAAGCCTGTCTCGTAGAAATCAAGTGTATGGAGGCAAAGGAATAAAAAATTTAGAAACCGCTGTTCTAACGGTTTCTTGTAAATGATTCAAACCCGAGTAATTCCATCTATCTATCTACAATAATTAGGTACAGATCATTATCGGACCCTTCTCCTTGGGGGGATTTGCCAGTAGTTGTCACTCTTGGCAGGCGGATTCGCAACCGCAATTGCCTTTGGAGATGTTTTAAGAGGGATGCTGTTTCTCATCCCTTGCCCTCCCTTAGTCGCCTCTTACTACACTCACGAGTAAGGAAGGGATGGCCTGTTCTATGCCGGGGCCACACAGCTACTATAGATGGTTGGGGGGAAAGGGATTGTTAGTAATGGAGACTGAGAATCCCATTGCTAACAATATACCCAACCAGGTCGACCTCCACGCGGTTCCCCCTGGAAACTATCATGGTTAATTCCTGATGAATTCATCATGATGAGCTAACTGGCCTGTTTTCATTCTCATCTATCACCCTTCACTGGTACTCCGCCAGCGTATCCCGTTAGCGCAGGCGGGGTTACCATACCATTTTCACTCATCAAAAAAAAAACTATAGATGGTTACTTCAAATCGATTAGAAAATCAGAATGGTTGAACTCGAAGCTTTTTAATGTGTTTAAAAAGTAAACTAACTGTCCATTGTAAACTTTAAAATTGTTCTATGTCGCTGTATTTTTATGCATTTATTTAAGTGATCCATTAAATAATATGTAATTAATTTGTTCGTTCCACGATTTCTAATTGGTAATTTCGTCATAGTCGTAGAATACTGACGGATCTGACGAATATTACGTATAAAGATCCGTCAGTATTCTACGACTATGACGATTTGTGATATTTACTTAAACATTTAATTTTTTTTTATTTTATCTCAATACATAGGCTATAAGTCTAAAATTGTATAAGTTTGTATTTTGTGATTTTATTCATTGTATTAAATTGGAATGCATTGATTTTTTTAAGTTTAATAATTTAGAAAATTTTTTGAAAAATTAAGCCTTAGATAGCTAAGTTGCACGCAGTGTATTGTACTCTTATAGATTATATGATTGATTATATGTTATAGACAAAACTCAGAGTAACGGTAACCACTTACCATCAGGTGGGCCGTATGCTTGTTTGCCACCTCAGTGGTATAAAAAAAAGAGTAGGGACTTAACGCGTAGAATTTTTTTTACAGGTAAATAGTACAAAACATACCTGCTTCTGTATTGTCGACGTTTCGACGTGGATTGCACCACGTCGTGTTCACGACAGGACGACAGGTTTACTTCGCTTCGTTTTATAGGTTTACACGCATGGGAAATCTGAGACTCCGCACTCCTTAGCTTCTTTCTACCTAAAGCATGCGAAAATTGTCTATGGGTACGTTCGTTTCCCACATGCCTAGGTACCTGATGTTTAGGCAAAATAAAAAAAAAAACTGGATCGTGCGTGGTGTTCCGACAAATAAGGAACCTTTTCAGTTCAGGGTACTATAGGATCCAGAGGATCCCAATATATAGGTAGAATCACGACGATGGGCTAACTGGCCTACCCTTTAATTCTCGCCTATCATCCCTCACCGATACTCTGCCAGTATATACGATTAGCTCAGACGGGATTTTTTTTTTAATAAGTGATAATGGAATGGTAAACCCGGCCGCGCATTGGGTATACACCGACGAGGCACCACTGGAAGGTAATAGGTATAGAATGAATGCAGGTCAGTTGGCTCACCATGATGAATTCGACAAGAATTAACTATGATGGTGTCTAGGGGAAACCGCGTGGAGGTCTACCTGAGAGGGTATATTGTTTGCAATGGGTTTTTTTTATACAACTTAGAATGGCAAACAAGCTGACGGCCCACATGATGGAAAATGTTAACCATCGCCTATAGACATGAGCAGTACCATGGACATAACAGAGTATACTGATTCGCCCATGATAGCCCCCATGCGTTGCCATTCCTAAGGACTCAGGTGTTATTCCTCAGTACCCTGTAAATTGACGCCATATCCCACCCTTCAAACCGAAATATAGCTATGTAAACAACTGCTTCACGGTAGAAACACGAATGGGACAGGTTGGGTACCTCGGTAGCAATCGACTTTTGTACAAAGTCTCCCTCTGGTCTCTAGACCTCATTACTAACAATCCCTTTCCCCCCGCGCAGGTGGGGTTACCATTCCATTAATCTTCCCATTACTAATAATCCCCCCACCCTCTTCCCTATAAATGACTATTGCTTAGCCACTTTCCCGTAGCTTTGCTTAATTTCCCTATTGTTGCAAAATTTACAAGCTCTAGAATTTTGTCTGTAACATATACAGTGGAACATGATATTAGGCTAAGATTAAGTGGATTTATAACACGCAATATGTCGTACCTATATCGAAATTTGTAAGCGTTATTAATAAAATATATGTTATTTTAAAATGTATTTTACTTTCACGATTTTTTTTTTAATATTAAATTAAC